GTTACATGGCTCACAAAAACAGATACAGAAAATGAACTGCCCGATGATCTGGAAATGCAAGGTGGCCTAATTCATTCACTCCCACCACATGGAGTGACTGAGCACCTGGTTTTCATGAGTTATACCCTCCAAGAGAATCAGTGCTGTTTCTTTCTTGGGGGGTAGGGTATCAAAATTGTGAGTATTTGAAAACTAGCAATGAAGACTGATTCATGGAAACTAGCTAAATGAGAGCTAGTTTCAAACACAGGTGGATTTGAGCATAGAACTGAATGCAAAGTCAATGGCAGCAAATCACTTAGTTTTCCTTTGACATGAAGGGGCAACAGTAATGAAAAGTGCAGAAGTACTCGGCAACTTAACCTTTTAGAGCCTCTATGACAGGCTTTCTATTACTCAGAGTTGGGCAGAGGTTTAAATGACATTGTGCATTTGAGGCATCTGGACTATAGTGGAGTGAATGTTTCACTCTTCTCATACTGTCTGCCTCCCAACAAGGGCAAGGAAAACACTTTTATTAATATATCCAGTCCCTGATACAGTATTACACAACAAGCATCTGTGAGGATAATGTAAGGGGAAATTGCTTTACTTCCTGGAATTTATCAGAAATGATTTGTATACTACAAATTGGTGAGGGTAAAAGTAGAAGTTTATAATCCACCAATTCAGTGAAAGGTGGCACATTGGGACACCCAGGGGAAAGAAAAATGAAAGAAGAGTGCCATCTTCTAAGACTGGTCTTAATCTAAATGTTTCAATTTAACTGGTGAGGCATTTTATTTCATGTCCCTTTTTTTTTATATATATAGCTGTCAAAGTCCTGAAGTTAAACGTAGACGAAAATAAGAACTGGCTTTTCAAGAAGGATTAAGAAAAGAATAAAAGTGACTGGTACACCTCTTGATCAAGTAAACACATCAAATGAAGATGTCTCTCTTAATCATTTTCCCAAATGCAAGAGAAACCTGGCAAATGATGCAAGTTAAATGAAGAAGAAAAGTTTCAAGAAATCAAGAGGGGAAAAAAATGACAAAAAAACAGCACCACAAAGCCATAGATGTTGTCCAGGATTTAAAAAATACTAGAATGGAATTAATTGGCTTCAGAAAACATTTCTAATAATTTCACATTAACAAAGGCAGGGGTGCACGGCTGTTCCATACATCCAACTCATAGTCTGAATCAAACAGAAGTGTCCTATCCAGAGAAAAGAAGCCAAGGGAAACAGCTGAATTTCTACATTACCAGAAGTCAAGGTATCTAAAATTAAATTAGATTGGTGAACGAGAACCAGAAATTGATTCTAATTCAAAATGAACTAAAGGTCCTAAATAAAATGTCCAAGGCAAGTGACATCCCAAAACTGTCCTAAAAAAATTACATCAAAAACCAGAGAAGTATTGTAATGGGGAATGAATGTGCTATACTACTTATATTAGTCTGACTAGACATAGAATAGAACTAAAATTAGAAATGTACTAATAAAATAAACATATAAAAGAATTTATATAAAGCTATCCATGTTAATCTGAGTAAACGTTAAACTCAGCTTGTTACTCTAACCTGATTTTTCTCTCAAAGCTAGAGCTTGCATGTTAAGTTTTTTTTTTAGTATACTTTACAATTCAGGAGTTTCCAATCCTGTGTGAACCTAGGAAGCATCCTGGCCTTAAGGACTGGCTGACGCCAACAGCTCAGTCAACAGGAATTCCAGCTGTCAAAAAAGCCCAGATGGCCAGCTCAAGAATGGTGACGATAAAGATCCATATCGAGGCCTATGGGAAGACATCTGACACAGCCTATACATCCTGCACACCCACAGCCCTCTCCTACTAATTTCTTTGTTCTGCTTACCCTCACCATCCTGATAAAAACCCTGGCCTATACTGAGATGTTAAGATGAGTTTTGGGATGAGACTCCCCCATTTTCTCAGGTAACCAGCACTTGAATATGCCTCTTTCCTTTTTACAAGCACCTGTCTCTTTTTGCCACAGGCAGCCAAACCTGGGTTTGGTTACAGTGTCACTTAGGTTTACTGAGTGTCATCTATCTGCCCGGTTCTATTCTAAGCATATCCCCATATACACTCAGGATCCTTTCAAAATAAACAAAATTAAAATTATTATTTTACAAAGGATGAACCTGAGACACAAAGAGGGTAAGTAACTTTCCAAAAGCATAGAGTTTAGGAAGCATCAGAAACACAAGCTGAAGTCAGGTATGAGGCTCTCTCTAAGTAAGTACTTCGTATCAAAGTGGCCATATTGGTGAAATTCTCCTCTAACTCTTATAAGGTGCCTACTGAGATGCTATGATAATGTGGAAATTTTTTAAAAGACCAGAGTTTCAAAGTTATTTTCAGATTAAAACACTGAAAAAGAAGTTCCTAGTTGTCTCCCCAGGGGAATTATCTCCACTCTCCTAGTTCAATTACCTGCATCCACTCTTCCTCTTCCATATTCTCTTAAGATAATGAATGCATAGCATGGTGCCAAGAAAATGAGTTCTCAGTAATTGTTGACAATGAATACAATAGCCATTCAATAAGTGCTCACTGAGCTGGAGAAAGAAAAGCCTGATCATCTACATAAGAAGAGATTGGCATAGGCTAATGAAGAACCATTCCACACCTTTGGAAGAGAGAAAACAGTTAAAGGTTCTGAAAGGAAACACCCAGGCTCCAATACTAAGTATATATAATCTATCATGTCTCTATATAGCCCAGTCTGTTCCACATCCTCTCAAGTTACCTTCCCCAGAATCTCACTTTTCTCTCATCTTAGCTACATCCTTCCTTTATGTGAGTGAGGGTAGGGTGGTAGTTTCAAAGGAAGGGAACGAGGTCACACATGATCACAGCCCCTTTTCATCTTAACCATTCTCCCACACCGTCCCAGGTGGCAAAAGACTGGAGTGGGAATGTAAAATCCTCTCCCTGTACCTTGGCAGCCCACCCCAGCATGCCAGCTCTCAGAAAGTCGTGAAACCAGCTCAGCTTGTCAATCAGGGAGCACAGTTGGACTCTGGCTAAATTCTACCAAATGGAAGGGGAAGAAAACTTTTGAAAATTAAACTAAATGAGGAGCCTTTTCCTCAGGGCAGGCAAGGTGCTTCTAATGACTTCTCACTGGAGGGAAGGTTCACCCAGGGCCATAAGCCTTCTCCTCTGCAGAAGAATATTACAAGATGGGTCACGGGCTACCTAAACTAGAAACTCCAATAAGTGCCACAGAATCAATTTGCCAGCAGGCTGCTAATGAGGAGCATCATACACCCAATTCCCTGTGCTTTTAATTTCCAAGGGGTTTTTTAACTGTCATTAGATCTGAGGGTTCCTATAATCCCTGTGGGGTGGCCATGAGGCAACCTGTCAAAATAAAAAAAAGTCTGACTGAGTCTTACAGGGACAAGAGAAGTAAAGATGTAGGAGAGGGATAAACCCACAGAATCCATGGCCATATGTCCTAAAGGCTATATTGGTTTGGCCTCCATCCCCAAAAGTTGTCCCTATCAGTTTATGACACAGAGAAGAGACACCTGAGTCCCACAAGAAAAACGATGGGAAAGCATTTCATTTAGCTCATAATGGAGGCACTCTCCTCCCTGCACGCCAGCTGTTTATTCACTACTGGTCAAAGGGCAACTGCACACAGAACTGGGGGAAACAATAAAAAAGAAATGGCAGCCAAGAGCCTGCCAAGTGCACATCCTCTGAAATTACCAGCTCCCGTCTCCATAAAGGGTGGAGGGGAAGCCAGAGAGTTCCGATTTTCCTACTCAGTTCTTCCCCTGTACCTCACGTGGGATAAAGTCTTAACTCTATTCCAGGCACGGAGAATCTGATAGATTTTTCTAAAGATGACATGAGATCACTAAAGCATGTGGTCTGTAAAACGCTCTGCAACCTTTAAGGAAAAAAAGCTGCTATTTAAATTCAAGGGTACAAATAAAAATGAAGCTCAGATAAAAAGAAAAAGAAAGGTAAAATGAACTCATTCTGTAAGTAAATAGCTAACTCTGCCAATAAGCACACGAAAAGACACTCAACATCACTAATTATTACGGAAATGCAAACCACAACCACAATGAGATACCACCTTACCCATTAAGATGGTTACTATAAATAACAACAACAACAAAATACAAACTCAGAAAATAATAAGTGCCAGCAAGGATCTGGAGAAACTTGAACCCTTGTGTGCTGTTGGTGGGAATATAAAATGGTGCAACCACTTTGGAAAAGTTTGTAGGTTCATCAAAAAATAAAATAGAATTATCGTATGATCCAGCCATTCCACTTCTGGATATATACTCAAAAGAGCAGGGTCTCAAAGGGTTAGGTACACACCCATGTTCACAGCAGCATTACTCATAAGAGATAAAAACATGGAAGCAACCCAGTGTCCATCAGTGGAGGAATGGATAAGCAAAATGTGGTATATAATACAACAAAGTATCAGTCGGCCTTATAAAGGAAGGAAATTCTGACATAGCTACAACATAGATGAACTTTGAGAGCGTTAAGCTAAGTGAAACGAGCTGACCACAAAAAGACAAATAATGTATAATTTCACTTATGTGAGTACTTGGAATAGTCAAAGTCATAGAGGCTGGCGGTTGCCAGGGGCTGGAAGTAGAAGGGAATAGAAAGTTATTGTTTAATGGGTACAGTTTCATATTCACTGGATGGAGGGTGGTGATGGCTGCACAGCAATATGAATGTATTCAATGTACACTTGATGGCTTAGGAAGTTACACGTATTTTACTTTTTTTTTTTTTAATGAGAAAAAAAATTAGTTAGCTAAGCCTGTTTTTCCTTCAAAGGAAAAAAAAATAGTCATCTGAATATTAAAAAATAGTCATTGGGGGCAGAGGAGTGCAATGAAGAAGGAAATCACAGGTCTACCATGAAAGAACATTACGTTTTTAAGCTCTCTGAATTCCAGGCTCAGCTGCAAAATCTATATAACCTATCCACCCTCCAAAGCCACTCACCTCACTGAGGTAAATAAAAAAAGAGCAGGTGGACCCATCCACTCCGTAGTCTGCGTAGCAGGGATCCGAGCGCCACATATCTTTCATCCACTGAAACGACAAGAGCCAGGTAAGAACATCTCTCAACAGCCCATTCTTGGTGACCCTGCCCATCTGCTGATGGAGGAGAGGACATGTGTCTGGTTCGAGCTGTGGCCTAAGCTCAGAGTCACTTAGCTGAGGTAAGGATGACAAACAGATGCTCAGCTACTGCACGACCCACAGATCCACAATGACTTCAGCGGGGCCTTGGTGGATGTGTTTAGAGTGGAGAGAAGTTGTGGGACATACCAAGCAGCAAAGCCCAGGAGAGGCAATGGCTAGGAGAGTTTTATCAAGAGCAGGCGCCTAATGGCATGTTTGCAACAAAATCCCCTCTCCCCAGAAAGCTGGCTTCACCAGCCGTAGCACAGCGCCAGGAAGAGAGTACACAAATGAGTGCAGGAGTCCCAAACAGAGACTACTAAACATAAACGTTTCTGGGGTTTGGTCTCACCATCCTCACTGTACTCCTGACCCGAAACTTCTCTGGAAACTACTGAGCAGGGGAGTGGTATCCCCAAGGACAGGCCATATAAATTTTTTTTTTAAATGTGAAGGCTGGTAGAGTGGCCCAGTGTCTCTGGGTATTCAAATGTAAATGCAAATATGACATTTAAATGACAATCTGGAGACCTCAGAGCTGGGCCTAGGGACTGGGAGAGAGAAGTCGGACACTAAATAATGGCAGTCCGTTGTCACTGGCTGGTGAAAGATCACCTGCTGGAGGCTGGGAAAGCCAGGGGAAGACAGCTTCAAAGACACAGCAGGTACCTGGATTGGTCTAGGCTCTTCAGTCANCCTGCTGGAGGCTGGGAAAGCCAGGGGAAGACAGCTTCAAAGACACAGCAGGTACCTGGATTGGTCCAGGCTCTTCAGTCAGACCAGTTAGAGCCACTGTTGACTAACCCCATGGAGTTGGCACAGCAGGAAGAGTTGCCATGGCCACAGCCCCAAACAAGCAGGACTGAAGCAGCCCTTAAATGACTCCCTTAAAGGGCTCACTCACCCTTTCAGGAAGGGAGTGTTAGTGCAAATGAGGGTGACAGAAATGAATGCGTATCACCTCGGCCCGCCTTACCTTGATTTTCCCCTCGCAGTGGGGGTAGCCATCCATAGGAGGCAACACGCATTTTTCTTGAGCTCCATTAATGATATCTGTAAAAGATAAAAAAGAACACAGGATACCATGAAGTTTATGCAAAACAGGCCTAACATCCCTGCTGTGACCCATGCAACGTGTCTGACTGGTTTGCAGTGAGGACCTGACCTGAGGACACAGCCCACCTACAGGGTGACCAGAACACAGGATGACATGTGGTCTAGCCTGGAAGGTGAGCTACAACAACCAGAGTGGTTGCTTGGAAATCTGCAAGTGGGAAACAGAAACCAAAGCAGCAGGGAGCAGGAAACAAAGCCGCGGGATTAGGAGGGCCCACCAGGCTGGCAAGGGACAAGCCAGGCTATGCAGAAAAACTGAGGTCCTGAGCAGCTTCATGAAGACATGTGCTAGAGCCCAGGCAGCCAGCAGGAGAAGGAGGCGAGCAGAACCAACGTGTGGAGGAGCAGAGCCGTGAGACATGTCTGTGAGGTAGAACCTCTTATGGACCCAGTGGTTAAATTTCCTCGGAAATCTCCTTACTGCTTCAAATATGTCCTCACCACAAACTCCCTTTCTACTACCTAGCTCCAATGGATTCCTGTTCCTTGTAACTACAGAGTCAAAACAAAAAGAATGCCTTTAGGAAGCTTATGGTTTAGTGAATAGACGAATAAACAATTGAGCAGCAGTATGACAGACACTGTGTTCGGGTGGGGCAAAAGGACGCCCATCTCGCTCTCTAAGAGTCAAAGAAGGCCTCCTGGGTCCAGCACAGTTTGGCTGAAATGTGGAGATGCAGAGGACTGAGCCAGGCAGAGGGACTAGGCAGAGCTGGTATTCCGGAGCTGCGGTGGTTCCAGATGCAGGGACCTGCTCTGCCTGGAATGGCAGTGTGAGGTGCTGCGTGGCCAGACAGGAAAAGCAGGCAGGGTCCAAACGGGAAAGGCCTCAAGTGCCAAGACAAAGACTCTGGTCCCTATGCCAAGGGCATGGCAGAGCTCTGAAGGGTTTTGAGAAGGGGCTGGCTATGGTCAGATTTTTGTTTAGGAATGATCATTTTAGCTGGACATTAGGACAACCCTAAACCCACACGATTCTCTTTTTGGACCTACTGTATTTTCCAGACCTGCTTGGAAAATGCCAACACTACTTACTGCTGACAGTTTTCTATCTATACAAAGTACTAATGAGAAATTAGACCCCGAATCACAGTGGTACTTAAGTGATGTTGGTGGCTGCTGGGGCTAAAAGAGAGGTTAGTGTTAAGGGAGGTTTGGGTTGTATATTTCCCTTGAAAACCAGTTGTTTTGAAAGTCTAAAGCAGGTATTTTTTTTTGACCTCTTGATTCAGAGTTTCCAATGAGCATCCTACTTGCTAAGGATAACTGGAGCATAAAATCAGTATCTTCCTTCTCATAGGTTGGAGGCAGTGCCATTGAACAGTTAACATGGAAGGCACTTAGCCTGTCAGTGCCTCTGTTTCTCCATCTATAAAAATGGAATAACCACACCTCTGGTTTGTCCAGCTCTTATTTAATAAATTAGCATTTATATAAAGTCTGGCACTCCTAAAACTGATATCACAGACCAGAGCAGATGCTTAAAAGTTGGCATCTGCTATGTGCTTCGACACAACGTTCACTTACTACATCCAGGAAAGGAATATTTCAAATGCACAGCTGCTCTGGAAACACACACTCTCTCTCACTTTCTAGTAAGGGAACCGCCAGCTCCAGAACCCACTTATCGGATGGTCGGCCTTGCTTTTCAATGACCACCACTCCAGTCACTAGTTTTAATTTGACTGTGCTTGGCAACACTAACCAAGCAAATAAGCAGCAGCAGAGGTTCCAAGAAGTTAAGCTGAGTCCAGGACAGCTGGGAGTTGGGATAATCAGACATTTAAGGGGACACTTAGGTGAAACGGGCCCCTTTGTCCACATACTCTTCCAGTGCCTATGTTCAGAGCCAGAAGTCATCCAAACTAGAAGCTACTGGGTTGCAGGTGTAATGTGTGGGGTGAAGAGAAAGTACCAGGTGGTACAATAAATGAACAGGCCCGTGAAGGTCTCCTGGCTGCTGACAGTGCGGGTCTCCTCACCAGGGGTTTTAAGGAATAAAAACATTATGCCAAAGTTGGCAAACCTTGCCCGTAAAGGGCCAGATGGTAAATGGCTGAGACGCGGCGGGCCACACCGTCTCCATCACAACCACCTCCTCCGGCTGTACCCGGAATGCAGCCACCGACGACAGGGGGAGGAGTGGGTCTGGCCGTGTTCCAATAAAGCCTGATGTACAAAAACAGGCCCAGGCCCCCGTGTCTGCTCTGCGAAGCGAGTTCCAGAACGAGGAGCCTTGTTTCTGCTATAACCTGCTGAAATGACCTTTTTCAGGACCTTGCAGGCATCCTCTGCCAGGAACCCCTTCCTCTCACCCCCTGGTGCCCTCCACCTTTTCTGCACCCAGCTAGAGCCCCTCCTCCTATAAGACCCACTCACATACCTTGGGAAGAAAGGGTCCCAACCCTTCCTCCCCAGGCCCAGTCAGGACTCAGTGCTGCCCTCCTGTTGTCATCTCTCCCTGGGCTAGGACAATTGTGCGACTTTCATTTCACTTGCCCATCTGCCCTCCTCAGCCCTGAGGACTTCATGGGAAGGTAATACCTTCCTGCTCCACCTCCAGGCCCTGGGTAAGCACTGCTGGATGGAGTAAACACACCCCTGGTCCACCGGACCGGACCCTGGGTCTGACTCTGCTCAGGGAGAAATGAGCTGAAACCCTGCAAGGCTACGGCTTCTACTGCAACTGGTGGTATCAAAGAATCCAACAGGGTCTCCTGTGCACTTCCATTCTCTTAGGATGCATTCTCTATTCAGTTCCACGGTGATGGGTATGAATACACAGTGACCTCCAGAAGCTCAGTTTAAAGGCTGAGGCTCTGGTGTAGGAGAGATCTGTGGACAGGAGAGACAGGCAGTGCCAGCGTCCCAGCGTGGGCAGAGCTGCTCTGAGTCCCATCGCCCTAACCTGACAGGACACTCTGGGCTCCAGGAGTGCCAGCTCTTCGCAGAGGACAGCTCCCCATTTTGTTTTCATCACAACAATAAAGACTCAGCAAATAATGCTTTTATTAGTTTGTGTCCACAGAACACTTTCCCACCTGTGGAAGAGTCTCCAACTTAAGTTTAGTTGCAAACCAAAAATTCAGGTTGATGTTACTGCATTTCAGGGGCAATTTAGCTTACGGTACACAGGCCCCTTCCAAAGGAGACAGGGTTCTGCTGAGATAAGTTACTAGGATCTTCTCCCTGCTGTTCACCCTGCACTCTCCAGCATCCCAACTTTTTTTAATGGTGAAATGGCACNTAGGATCTTCTCCCTGCTGTTCACCCTGCACTCTCCAGCATCCCAACTTTAATGGTGAAATGGCAAGGGGAGAAAAGGTGCTAGTGTCAGCGATGAAGCTCAGCTCTGACTATTGTGTAGGGTTCGGCTTCACTCCTCACTCTCACACACCAGCCCACGTGGCGTCTTCCACCAAGGNTGAAATGGCACGGGGAGAAAAGGTGCTAGTGTCAGCGATGAAGCTCAGCTCTGACTATTGTGTAGGGTTCGGCTTCACTCCTCACTCTCACACGCCAGCCCACGTGGCATCTTCCACCAAGAGCTTCACTCGGTACCGACTCTACAGTGTTGCCAACTGGGCATTACAGGAACAGCAGGTCACCCAGGTGTGAAAACGCTGTTGTCTTATCAGTCACCAGCACCACACAATGTAGGAGGGCACAAACACTGGGTTTAATCTGAGGACACTCTTCCTGTCCCCCAAAATGCCTGTTTCTGGAAGAGCACGTGTACAGCAGGAGCAGAAGCGGCAGCAAAAATGTCTTAAACACACACAGAGGGGGGAGCCAGACTCAGTCCCTAAGTCCTAATATATGTACATATACAGAGAGAGACACGGCACGTCAAATTCACATACTGGGAAGCCGCAGAGACAGAGAGATATGGAACCACGTACACTTTTTTACTCCAGCTTTCCTCTGCCCCTGAGGGAGGGAGGGAGGGAGGAAAGTGGGGAGAGAGGAGGGAAGACGTGACCGTGGTCTCAGAGGGACAGTGGGAACAGAAAGAGTGACACAGGAAACAAAGGTGAACGGTGAGGACCCTCCTCGGTACAGTACCTGCCTTTCTAAAGTGCTGCCTCATAACTGTCACAGACATCATCACACTGCACACTAACCATGCCCTCCTGGAAAAGGAAGACGGTTAACTATCTTAAAGTTGGAAAAGAGAAACTTTAAAATCCTCAGTGTCTACTTCCAGACTCGGCCTGCAGTCACCGGGAACACCCCAGCAAAGCCTGCTGTTTGCCGTGTGCTGAGAATGTCAGAGCTGTACCCTTGAAAAACAAGGTCTGTGCCCACAAGGAGCTCACCATGCCATGCGGGAGGCGGGACCACATGCACCAGAGCGAGGCTCGTGCCAGCAGAGCCCCTCCCTGCCACAGCAACCCTGGAAGACAGGACGGCCACCCTTGGGTACAGCGGCCCAGGGCCCAACACAGCGCCCGGCACACTGGGCACTCCGTGGTATATTTTTTAAACAAATGAACAAATTTATCACAGAAATGAAGAGCCTATGGTCTAGAGGAGTGAAGAGAGGAGAAAACGTCACAGAAGGAAGGGAGTGGGAAATCCTCGTTCAGAATCGCAGAACCAGGCATTCGAGTCTGGTCCACACACTAAACGCAGCTGAAGGAATCTGGGTCCGGCACAGGGAAAAGGGCAGGAAGGGCAGCCCTTACTAACGCAGTCATTTCCGATGCAAGCAGCGCGGAAGTGGCCTGCCTTCTGTGAGTCCCCGACATTCACACCTTACTGGTGTGATTTAAAAGAGAGGCTTAAGGTTTTGTGAGATATGATCTTCATGAGTCATATGTTAAATGTTCTAACGCATTTACAAAATGCACACAAGATCCACTGGGTACCATACAAGGATGCCTTCATCTTTTGTGCTTTTGAAAGCACCCTCAACCATTCACCCTGCAGCGTCC